GCCGCCGCCGGTTGCTGAGCGCGCGCGGCCGCCGGCGATGCTCCGCGCGCCGGGCCGCGAGGTTTGAACTTGGCGGCGGCCCGGGGTCCCACTGGGCCGGGAGGCGATGGTGAGTGCGGGGCGCGGGGGGCTCGGGCCGGGCCGGGCCGGGCGGGAGACATCCGAGAAGCTCAGCGTGGAGAAGGTGTCCCGGGGAGCCCGGCCAGCCTGCCGGGGGGCAGGTGGCGCGCTCCGAGGGGCTCCCGACACTCCAGGCCTGCCCGCCCTTTCTCACCCGGGGCAGGGCTGCGGGGTTGGGGGCCGGGGTGGGGGGTGGCGGTGGATTGTCGCCGGGCTGCCACTCCAACGGGATTGCTGGTTGACTGACAGCGTGAAACCGCTTCAGAAGAAATGATCTGTGAAATATTTTAATTTTGATGAATTGCTTCCCACCGGGGTCCCTGCCGAGTGTAGACCGCCTCGCCTTTCTTAATGTTACTGGATTCGTCCCTCGAGGACAGGCCCCAAAGTACTTTGAGGGGCGCGCGTGTGCCCCTCCCCCACCGGCTGCAGCTCCCGGGCAATGATTTCCAGGAGTGTGTTCCGCTGTCAGGTAGCACGGAATTGAAATTGCAGCTGACATTTGCTTTGCTCTGTGTTGCCAGAGAGACCCAAAACTTCCTCGCCGTCCTCGCCGTGGGGGTGGGGTGTACTACTCTCTTTCTCTAAGCCTTTGGCATCAGCCCCCAGCCCCCACCCACCCACCCACCCAGTCCTGGTGTTGCCGTGGAGTTGTGTGCATAGATGCATGAGTCTTTGCTTTCTTCTGGGCGCCACATACATGTAATTCCTGTGCGGAAACTCCTGTGAGCTAGCGTGGTGCGTGGGCTTCAAAAAGACCCTTGCTTTTTTCATTTATTGGTTTTTAAGGGCTGGTGGAATTACGTTCTCAATAGAAAACATCTTTAGTGTGTGGCTAACCTTTTCTCCAAGTGATTTCACCAGAAGCTGACCTAGATTTCAATTAATTTCAGTGATTCTTTTTTAAAAAATACTTTTCCCCCCTATGCTTTGGTTTCTCTCGAGGTCATGTAAACCTTTCAACCTCTGGAAATTTCTTCTTATTTTAAAAGCGATGTGTGATTGTTATGGGAAAGGATATATAGAAGAGAGGAGACAAGCAAACATGGTAATGTGTTTGTTTCCTAAGACGTTTTTCGTAGCCTCCTGATCAGTTGAGGCTTTAAGAGCTGTAGATATTTCCCCCTTTCCTAATCTGTTTTAGAAACAAAAAGGTAGAAATTGACAAGGAAATAAATTTACTTGAAATGCTATAACCAACAATAACTCATTCACATGGTTCCCAGATTGAAATGGAGTTTATTGTGGCAATTTCTCTTGAATCAACTTTCCACATCTGCCCCTGGCAAATGGCTTCTGTTTGTACAGCCTGTTTTGTAAATACATCCCTTCACCATTAAGGCAAAATGCCAAACAAATATCCCTTTCCAGCGCTTGTAGCTAGGCTCATAAAGTTAATATTTTTATTGCTCTCCACATCAGAACTTCCTTACCAAACCCTTGATAAAACCCTGGAGAAGGTTACCAAGGGATGCTGCAGAGAATTCACTTCCCTGGAGACTTTGAAAATAGGATAAACAGCCATCTGCCTAGGATGGTTTCAGTATAGTACTGCCTGAATAAGATGGGCCACCTCTCCCAAGCTCAGGGTGGAGGGATTCTAAGCAAATTCCCATTTGCAGTGACCTGGGAACAAAGGACCTTGAGATTACCAAAAAAAAACCTGAGCCTGGTGGAGGTGAAGCCCTGAGGTGAAACCAAGACATTTTTCTGAGAACGACTACACTACGACTGTGGTGTATAGAAAATCCGCCCGTGATTTGATTCTATTCTAGGAGGTTGCAGACAGGTCTGTGATTTCAAGTGTGGGGATTGAGTTATGGGAAAGAAAAGTTTTCCCTTGAATGCAGGAAGGGTGGGTGTCATCTTGTTTAGTAAACCTCTAAGGATGACTAGCCTGAAAATGTTCTTCTTCCCCTAGTCTTTCTCCCTCACTGCCCTTCCCCTGCCCCCATCACTTTATCTCTGTTGGCCTCAGATCCTGGACTCAAGCCATACACCTTCCTTGGCTTCCCCAGGAGCTGGGAGGGGGTACAGAAGAATAGTATGTCCTATTTACTATGTACTATGCTGGCCTTGCATTCTTCATTTTCAACTCAGTTATTCTTGATATGAGTGACATCTGGTTACAGTTTTTAACTGCCTAGTTTTTAACTGATGTGTAAAAAAAATGGTACATGCTTCTGGGATGCAGAAGCTGTTTTGATACCCATATATACTATATAATGTTCAAGTCTGTAATTTCTTTGTAGTTACGGTTTTAAAACACCACTATTTCCTTCTCGAAATTTCTTTCTGCTTTGCATGTTCACGTGAAACTCACGGTACATTAACCGAAACCAAGTGTGCCTGTCATGAGTGTGGCCTTAGGACCCCAGCGGTGTTTTGGCTTTGTTGGTTCCTTCCAGAAGGTAGAGTTTCATGGCTTGTCTTCCCTCTGCCTGCCTGTTTGACAGAAGTGTGTAATTCTAACCACTGTGCGACCTCAGTGTTAGTGACACCTTCCTCCCTTTCCTGAGTATCGCCTGACCAGGGAGCTGCCGCTTCTCTTCCTGGAGGGTCATGGAGGGGATCACATTCTAGGAGAGGTCACAGCAAGAAGAAGCACAGAGCTAAGTCTCCGGACAGACAGTGTCTCCCCTGTCTTGAATAAGCAGCACCCCAACTCCACAGCCTTCGGTTTGTTGTTTTTTTCCTTGCATGCCCCAAACTTGTTTTCTTATGCTATCAGCACACCAAACAAGAAAAAGAGCAGCGGTCATTTATTTATTTAGCAAACATTTACCGTGTGGGAGACATCCCAGAACCTGGGGGTAGGTTCCCTGCCTTCGGGGAACTCATCTTATATAAAAAAATAAAACATGTTAATAAGTTACTGTTGTTCTATGGGAGTAGAGTTCAGGAGTTAAGAACATAAGTTGTAAAGTTAAATATATACCAACCTGTGACCCAACATATCCATGCCCAGGTACCCAAGGCAGAGGGAAACTAATGTCTCTTTAAAAAAAAAAAAAAAAAAGACGTAGACCATAGTAACCTTATTCATGATTATCACAACAGACCAAATAGACATAAACTGGAAATAGTCATTCATCCACAAACAAGAAAGTGGATGAACGGACCATGGCACACCCATACAGTGGAATACTGTTCAGCAGTCAACAAGAATGAGCTTGCGCTCCTCAAACCTTGATGAATCTCAGAAGCTTTGGCTTAACTAAACAAAGTCAGATAAAAAAGAATACGTAGGGCGGGTTGGGGATTTAGTTCAGTGGTAAGGCCCTCAGCTCTGGAAAAGAAAAAAAGAAACAGAAAAAACCACAACTATTCATTTACTCTCTGTACTGTTGTACTGTGGATTGAAACCTGGGCTTTCACATACCAGACAGGTACTCGACCTTTGAGCTATGGCACTAGCCCTAACCATTCAGTCTGCAGGCTAATCAATGACAGTAAAAGTTTGTGGGTGCTGAGGAAAGGGACTGGAAAGAAAAAAGTCATTTCTGTGGTGATGGAAGGGTTTAGTGTTCTGTTCTCAGAGTCACAAAGGTGTTTGCAGTTACCGAACCCTGTTGAACTGGACACAGCGTCAGCTAAATTCGGAGGTTCGGTTCTGGGGTGACCCAGAGGCAGTCCCTCCCTCCACTTCTGCCTTTAGGTGTGTATGACTTTACCTTGGCAAGTTTTGAGATGTTTGGGGTCATTGGACAGTTCCTGCATATCTTCTTAGGCTGTGGGAAGACCAAGCTGGACACCGATTCAGCGTGTTTAGCTTGGTGCTAGCTCAGTACCTTGTCGGTGTTTCTGTGCACTGTGGTGAACATATGGTTTACCATGTGAGTGACTTGCACTTCCTGTTAAAGCCACTTCACTTTCTTAAGGAAGGTTTTGTGGCACCATTAACTGCCACCTCCGACCCCCAGCCCCTCATTACATGTCTCTTCATTTTAGTGGCTATCTCTTCTTGTGTCTTTTAGGAATTTCACTGTAAAGTTTTTTGCCTGTGTGATCCAAAGATCACAGGGGCCCACCACTAACCAAGATGTTATTTGGAATTAATACCTGTTGGCAAAGAGAAAATTAGTTTTGAAGTGTCACTGGGTATATCAACCACAGACAAGGCATTCGCCATGCTCAGGAGTTGGCCAAACCAAAACAAACTCCATGCCTTTTTTGTTTTGTTTTGTCTTATTTGGACAGCTTTTGTCTTTCTGTTTTTGTTTTTGTTTTGAGAGAGCAAAAAAATAACATGCAGTTGGACAGTGGGAAGTAGAGGGAGTTGATAAAGCACATTGTATT